GATTCATATAAATAGTTTGAAACTGAATAGTATTTAACACCAAATAATCGATAACTTAATGTATTAACACATATCTACCATATTATGTAATTAAGTATCTGTAACCAACAGATATAACTAAGAAACTGTCATGTGATGACGTAATAGCGTCTGCTGGGATCACCAGGTAAGTAATAGTGAGGTTAGTTATATAATATACCCTTGTGGGCCAGGGTAATTTTATATAGGTTTACAGGAGAACCAGACACCATCCGGACTTTCACGTAAAAACCCAAACAGTACAGTTCAACCCCGTTCAGCAGGGGAACCAGACGCGTACAGGCTTTGACACTACAATCTGAATAGTACAGCTCAACCCTGTGGCGCAACCACACAGGTACCAAGCACCCTGGTGGACGCAGGGTATTAGGGAATCATGGTAAATCAATTGATAAGGTAGTGAATCTTCATCGACTGAGATGGTTGGGACACGTGTTACGTATGCTTGAACATCGGTTACCATGACGCGCAATGATGGCTAGTGTTGGAGACGATTGAAAGAATGATAGGGGAAGCCAAACCAAAACGTGGTATCAGTTCTTGAAATCACTAATTTCTAGTCTGAGCCATGTTGTTAGATGCAGACTACTTGGTTGTGGTCTGCGTGACTATCGTAACCAATGGTTGGAGACTCTTGTTGACATGGCTCAGAATCGATCACAATGGCGTCGCTGTATACACTCTCTGTCTTTCCTTAAACTAAGAGATTAAAATCACTTAATATCTTTCTTTCTACGAACTAATTCTTTCTTCCTGTACTATGTCCTTATATTCAATCTTTCTTTCATATACTACTACCATTGAATTAACTACCTTTATGAATCCGGTGTTCATCTTGTTGTGTTAATGAGATATGACAACTTGGACCGATGCACATATGTGTCTGGTCCTACGTTGTAGCTGACTGACTGTCAAAGTATGATTACCTGTCACAGACCATTTGAAAAAAAAATCGAATTCACATACAAAGCCACAATTTCCCGAATACATTGAAGATCATATTATACTTGACGAGTAGGTATTTTGACAACTAAGTATACTTTAGAAGCCTGTAATAAATTACTTAGTATATTTAATCCGTTCGATAAATTTGGACGGTGTAATAAGAAGGCAAAGACTATCAGGACTACATTTCTAACAGTCAGATCACACATACTTGTTAAGAATATATATATATATATATATATATATATATATATATATATATATATATATATATATATATATATATATATATATATATATATAAGTTCAACTGGACAAATATAAGGTAAGGGGAAACGAAGATACTAAAGAAAATGATGTTAAAAACAAATATGAAACTCACCACATTGGATAATATGACAATATTACAAGGGTTGATCCTATTTGTACAAACAGTACTATAGATGACAAAGTAAAACTACTAAACAAAACATTGATGGGAAATGGACATCCTATCAAACTCATATAATGAAACCTACAACATTCTCGCTATCAAAAACCCTGTGTACGACACCCTACCATTCAGAGGAGAGTCGAATAGCTTTGTGTTAAAACTAAGGTTCAACTCAGTTGTTAACAAAATGTACTACACAGCAAGGATCACTATCACTGAAAAAAGGGTCCATGCTTCACCATTTAGACGATTGCGTCACATCTAACTGTGTTTATCAATCTACATGTGTGTCGCCACATATACATAAGGAGTAATCATGATTTGGAAGTTAGGGCGTCCGAACAAGTACCAAAATGGTTGCAATGACCCGATAAGAGTTGATGATAAACATCCACCGGCCTCTATTGCTTAACACTTAGTTGAAACAGGTCATGAGGTTGATCGTAACACGACGTTTGTTATTTGCACAAAATTGTTCGAAGGGCATATACTAGTTTACTGAAGCCCTAGTCATACGAAAATATAAACCCCATTCATGTATTCGAAAGCAGTTTATTCTCAGAGTAAACCTAAACCAGTGATGCGCTAATATCCAGCGTTTTGAGTCCCTCCTTGTTCTCAACATCATTTTCTTTATTTTCCCTTACCTTACAATTGTCCAGTTACAGTGAACCCTTAGTGTTTTATACACATGCATTTCTTAACAGGTATGTGTGTAATCCGATTGTTCGAAATATATTGCGCTAATATATCACATGGCTCTGATAATCTTCGTCTTCTTGTTACCTTATCCAGACTTAGTACATTGTCAATATGATTATTAAGTCTATCAGCTATCATGCTTCGCCCAAAATAGATTGATTAGCAAGATAACTCCTGCTATTCATCATACATTCTTAAACTTCATGAGTCTAGAAACCATACACTACTTTAAATAACTGGATAGGGGTGCTGAATACGAAGAGAGAAAAGCGGTTCACATGGAATGGTACATTTGAGTGATGCGTACATCACAAATCCACACTACTGAATTTAAGTGCCTATTACAAACTTTGAACACAGTGAAGCAATCCCCTATATGGCAACCATCATATACAACGACGCAAAATCAAATTCAGACCGACTACACTGAAATCAACTAACGTTCGAAGTAGAATTAAAAAAGTATCAGCAATACAGTACATTTACTCTTACATCAAACGTAGTGTGCTTTTAAGTTAATGTGTCTTACACTAAATAACCAAAACCATTTTGAGATAGCTTCAATTGTACCTTAATTTTATTTCTAGAACTTTATACTGAATGGTTACTTGAATTTCATTCAGTTCTAGGAAGATGATGAAGACAAACAAATAGGATCCACGTCGGGACGGATGTACTTTTACTGTTATATTCTCATTGTATAGGATTTTCAAAAATATGCATTCCTACTAAAGCTCTATCTGTATACTCATACCCATCCCCAGTGAGCATTTGATCTCATTGATAGAAATCTGTGATAATACTTGACATTTTGAGACATGCCACTCAATTATTCTAAACTCAAAGGGTTGTTGAGTAAACTCAATTAGTGAGCTATGCTACTTTAAAGGACCATGATCAGTGATATTCTTACAGGAAATATCTATTTTTATTTCAACTATATGAGTATCAATCTACTTTTGAAGATTACTCCCACAATTAATCATTTCTACAATCCGATGAGGAGCTGATTTGAATAGGGAATATTTTAAATACTATAAAAAATGTAACCAACTAAATGAAATGACCAAGGATCTCAGGATATCCACTTTGCCTATGTCACATTTAAAAATCACGATACCAGTGAAAGTTATGAGGAAATCAAAATATCTGTCTATTTGTTAAGAGTCACAAGCATGGAACTTGTATTTAGTTGTATAATTAAAAATATTGTCTAGAGTTGAGAACCAAGATTATTTGTGTTGTATCAGTACAACCATTAGAGCACTGATCGTATCTAGTTATGGATAATCACAAATAGACAGTCGGCATAATGTCAAGGCATAGTTATTAAACGACTAAAGCTAGCAGGACGTAAAATCTACAGCAGTAACACGGAGCCATATTGGCAGTTCGTAATCTCTGACTATGGACTTGATTTGTTCAGAAACTGGTACACTTAACAAGATGAGATTTTCAAGATATTAAGGTTTATAGAATTAAGATGTGGCTATGGACTGTTTTCAGTGTTGCAGGTGATGCCTAGTAGGACTTAGATGATAGGACTTTTCATACATCCAGCATTTTTTTGTTTTGTAGCTACCGTCATACAAATACAAGCAAGAGACTTAAAAATAAACGTAGAAAATTCTATCATAGATACGTAGGAGTTTAGAAGCTGAACGATGGTAATGTAGGAAAGCCTGTGAAACATTCTTTGAGTCATTATTAGAGCACTGATATACAGTAGCATCCTGGTCAGTATAATCGTATGCTCTAACAAAATGTCTAACAATATCAGTACGCAGTAGTGCTCACATGGTCTTGGATATTAAGGGCTTCGCAACCAAATGCTGAACAAAAGACTATTTTCTCACACTAGTAATAATTTTCTGGCTCTGACTTCACTTTGAATTGTATTCGCAGTGATTCATTTGCCATATACAAGTTTATATATTCGGCTTTGGGTCAATCTGTTGATACTTGGCTACCCAAACAGAAGTATGGAGAGAGTGGTTCGAAAGTTCAACCTACCAGTTGATAGTTAAAGGTTTAAATCACTACGCTGTCGCTCACTTCTATACGATAGAATATTTAAGTAAGAATATGTCCCACAAATACCTGTAAAGTTGGAGCTTAAAACATTAGAGTAAAGATGAGAAATAAATAATGTGACGTGAAAGTCACAGGACATAAATGGGATAATAACCAGTCGGTATTCAGATAGATGTAGTGGGCATGAAGACAAGTAAGACATTTAAATTCCTGCTCTTGAATTGTTTTGAAATAATTATTATAAAATGGGATTGGGTTGAATAGTTAAAAACCGTGTTATGCTAGGAACTAGATTAAGATATAAGTATGTCAGTCACCTACTATCAACTTAGGGCATGGAGTAAACATATGTCAGTCCATATCAAACTGATAAACTTACCCCAACAATACGAGACTTCATTCATAGAGATGACCTGTGCCCATTGGTCAGGTAACAGTTGGAATTAAGATTAATAATATGCACGAATACGCAATTTTAAGTAGTTCTCACATATACTAAACATACATTTGCATGCAGGTTACAAATTAATCTCTTGTTTATTAACTAACAACTTGCTTGATGAACAGTGATCTGAGTTGTGTCTAACATAAAGAACTCACACTTTCTCAACAGTAAATACAGTAAGATTAGATCTCTCGAGAAATAGAAACCTTGGAACCATAGATAATCATTGAAGCTACTTAACTTTTGTCTACTTAAATGACAGGACGTCCTAAAACTAATAACTTTTCGGCAGCGATTGAATGAAACTGTTAGTACTTTCCAAGAAATGTTGGGGTAAAGCAGAGAGCAATTGGCACTTTTACAACTTAGTACCCTTAAAGAAGTCATTTCAAGACGAACATGCATATGTCAAAAAAGTTTATGAGATAGTTATTTTAAATGCGTAAACAATGAATACAGTTTGCGACAAGCAGAGTTTGAAAGCAAAATAATCTATGGAGGAAACTTGATTACAGTAAATCAACCAATTAATCAAGGTATAAATGAATGTAAACTATAAGCAAGTTATGAGCATTAATCGTTTAATATCAGGGTATACCACGATGTAACTCATGGGAATTCTGTAAAGGCGATTTGGGATTTTTATTTTCACTGTTTACTACCTGGAATGATGAACCCAAAATTTTTGTATTGGGAGATTTTGAATAGTTCGAGGATTTAACGTAAGAGGTGTTTTCTGACTCACTGCTAGCTAAAGAATAGTCAGCACTAGGATTTGATGGATTTATAAGTACATCCATATTGAACATTTTATTGTTACTAGCCTGATCTGCATCACCAGCAGCCCCCCGGTGGGCGTCGAAACAAAACTTGGGATATCTAGCAATGACGAACATTCTGTTTAACACAACTTGAATGAATGCACAGGCATGGAAGACAGTTTTATGGTCAGAGTCTGAATCAAACTTGTACTCAAGAGTAGTGAAATTTACACACAAGTCAACAACATAGTTATTTTTTGAACGACCAGAGCATATTACCGGCAAAGGAGACGATGGCAAGAAAACTGTATCGAAAACAGTTGACAAATATGTGAATTTCATAACATTTTTGTCAGATTTTTCAATGACTGAATCTAATTTTCCGGAAAAATCGCCGTAGCTTGAAGTCAGGTTTACAAAGACTGCAGAAGTTTTTATTTGCTTTTTATTTGGAAGATAAGTGGTATTCATACAGAGTTGAGCTGCCTTAGTATTGTCAGATGTCAACAAAATAGGTTGATATAAATCTGGAGAAAGATTATTCTTACCAGAAACCTGGGGCTGTAAAATACCACAACAGACGCAAGGATCACTTACACGGCCACATGTACAGGAAAAAGTCGGACTTTGAAACAATGTTTCAACAGCAAACTCTTCAGAGAGGATAGCAGCAACATAGCCATTATGACGTAATAAGTCCGATATATAGGCTTCATTTTCGTTAAATTCTGTTGGGATATATACAAACGTGTTGATGGTGCTCGAACTGTTTTCCGGTCGATACAGATGAATACGGTGCTGATGAATACGAGAAGCACGGTCATCTGTAAGTGAGTAATCTGGTATCGGATGGTTGTAAATCATAGGGGTTAATCCTAAGCGACTGCTTAATAATAGATATAATGTGACACAAGCCGCCACGAGAAAGATGAGAGACTTTTTTTGCATGGAAAAAGACTTTATAATCATCTTTTATGAACTGTATTGCGAATACACCGACACCAACATTATCGTTTTAGCCCAAAAGCAGTTGTCCGCGTGACCTTCAAATCTTGTCGATTTGAAAACTTCAATGAACATAAGCCGTTCTCAATATTCACTATGTATATACTGAAACAATATAGGCCGATTGAATTTCTAGCACTAACTCTACAATGTTGCGAAGAGATTCTGGACATTTCAGCTGCCTTCAGTGAGGTCCGTACAGCCGCTATAAGGCAATAAATAGTTTGTATAATCGGTAGCTTCATTTTTGAACTAGTGTCCAGCGTCTTTGCTATAAGCTTGTATGAGCCAATCATCTTTTGGCACATGCTTCGTAAAATCCCTGAGGACTCAGTTATTTGGGATCGTTTTGTCTATATTTATCTTCCTTTCTCCTAGTGTTTATCGCTGGACGTCAGGGTTCCATGGTCAGTGACTATCGTGGCACCGTGTGGATTATGTTGAGCCAAATTATTAGAATTCACGGAGCTGACGATCCAAAACTTATCGTATGATTTGGAGAATTGAAATAAAAGTCGACAAAAATCAGTGATACGGATAATATCTATGTGTTAACCCATTGGTAGGCGATCCTGAAGGGTTTTCGCGAGAATTATGACAGGTTTACGACGTGTTTAGGTTATTGGGATAGTGAGAACTAGTTGTGTGACTTAAAGAAGACAGGCATAGCTCTTCTAATCGATATTAACGACTGTTATTTTACAGGACTGAGATGTTTAATGTACCTGCGTTTTTCCCCCTTTATGTCATGTTTCAAGAAATGGAGGAGTGATTGCAAAGGAAACAGACTTTCAGCTTCTTCATTTGTAACTATGTCATCATTAAGTGTCATGTTTTCAGTTTAGAGTTTAGTTTTTCATCTCCACTTCGTTTCCGCTGTGATGTGACACCTCTTTGAGACTTCTATGCGACCATTATGTCTTTCAATAGATCTTCAACTTGATATTGCTGGGCTGAATTACGGCTGTTTCGAGAGATTGCTAATAAGTGTGAGAAAAATAAGAGATTCTGGAGTGAAGAGTACAGATGGAAAAGTATGGGGTACCCAGGCGGTTCTTGAAAATTTAAACCTCAATTTGAAGTTGGACTACTGTGGTTAAAATAATTGCCAGAAAATATGATCACGGCGTGCAGATTTTCGGGGATTAGTGGTTGCTCGTGAGTGTTCATTGACCATGTGGTTGCAGCATAGCAGGATATATTTAGAAAGCACGGTAAACAGAATGCCTTTTCGGATGCATGTTCAAAGTATTGGGAGTGGACCTTGGAAACGAGACGAGATGGGGAAATTTGTGATAACGATACGACATATTATAATGTATAGTGGTCCTCCTGAAGTTGAAAGCTGATGGAAATCGGTTTGTATTGTTATTATTAATGGCTTTATTCAATATTATATTTCGGTACAATATAGAATTCTCAGCACAGTAGTATGATCACATCCCAGATTGGCTTGTACGATTACTGCGTGTTGCAAAAGTCCTAATAGCATGGAAGTGATCACTTTTTCGCTTACGAAAGACCACTTGTTGTGGTTTAAAAGCAACTCTTTGTACCTTATTTATCTACCTTAATGTCTAGATTTCACATTATTGTATTTTCCTAATACTTTGTTAGTTGTGATTATCTTAGTCAGTTATTTATTCATGTAGTTTGACATTAATGTGGATCAGGAATAAATCGAGTATAGCTCCATTCAACACGTCTTCTCTCTCGTAAGAGCACTTCTCGCCTGTTTGTATCAAGACCTTTTAGTTTTCATTTAAACTCACTCATTACTATCCCCAAGGTTAAACTAGTCAACCTATCGTGTCAAGACCTTAAAGTTGATCGAGACAACTTCCTCCAAGTATTTTAGTTATAAACGGATCAAGGACGTAACACCACTCCTTAGCTTCCTACCCTATAGGGCAGGGAATAAATAAATTATAACGTTTAGTAACAATATGAGCACACTTGGAAGTCCATTTGATCAAGAAAGTACCAAGTGAGGTTCACCTTAAACACAACACCAACAGTACATTTATTTCATATTCGACACCAATGGAGCCTTTGTGTGTTACCAATGAAATTAAATGAACCGATCTACTAATCATCTTCATGTATGGGTTGCATTTCGTTTTTTTCAGCATGGAACCTAAACCGTTTATCATTTTCAGCAAGTTTTTCTTGGCTATTACAGGATGACTAAAGTACTAAACTGTGAATTACACTGTCTGTCGCTTATTTCTGTAAGGGACTGATTGATTGATCATATTTGGAGAAGGTTCATGGTGCCAGAGGGTGTACGTATGAGGTGAAAATCAACAAAGAAAATCACAAGATTACTCTGGTTCAATCAGTAATGGCAACAGGTTCTATTATTTTACATTGCCTCCACTATTTCCATCCATAGTAAGTTTATGGTCTATATAAGTAGTCCACTTACACCTGCCAAAGCGACAGCAAACATATGAGTAACATCTCAAACCTCAAGGTACTGATACAAAAGATGTAGGTTTAAGGTGCCATCTAGAAATAACATAAGCTATGGAGTTATCAACATCAGTGCTCAGCAGGTAGTTAGAAAGATTTATGTAGGTAATAACAAAACCGTTTATTGTCTTCAACGATCGATATAGAAGGGGTACCAAGGAAGGTAGTTTGGCAATTAGATGTCTACAGTTAAGCGTGACGAGACAGCTTTAGTAGTAGCCTACCATATGGAACTAATAAAATAACTTTCCTTAGAATATACTGATGTAAAATGATTGTCATCCATTTAATAGTAGGCCAACACGAAACTGTTGTTACAATTTGAAAATGTTTGGATTCTGGGGGTTCGTAGAAAGAAAGTTGATTTCCGTTAATCCTCGTATGAAATCTTAGTATAATTTTTGAACGAGTTTCTGTTCCGTTAAAAATGAAACTTTTAAAGGATTAATTTTTTACTGTTTGACAAGATAACCCCAAAAGACAACTTAAATTTGATACATTTTAATACTGTTTTACACCCAATCGTGCTAAAACTTTGCGGCAGTAAGATAAACGAGAACTTAAACACTATCAGAATTTAGCCATCGATTTTTCCTTATCTGTTGTTTTTGGACATAATGTACCGTTTTGTTCTACAAAAAGAACACGACCATTGACGAAACCAAAATAATACTAAGGAAGATCCTGAAAGTATAAACTCAAGTTCTTCTAGGTTAGGAGGCGGTGGATACTTGAGTCAGATGATGAAGAACCGATTACATGAAAAATTCGATGTTCGGCTGTCAGTGAGATATGGTCGTTGTGTTAGCTACTGAAGCTAATCTAACAACAGACCAATCTGAAGACCATTCGTCTATAAAAGCTGACATGCTGAAATGAAATTTGTCACAAGGGGAAACTCTGTATATGAGGGAGGGACAGAAACGTAGTATGTATCAACAGCAATTTAATTCACCTAGTATCTACGTACTGAACGAACCTACAAAAGCCAACTATATAGGTAAAATTCCTTGGAAGGTTTCATACCAAGACTGATCGGCTGTCCAATGCTACTAGGTTCTCAATGGTGATCTATTATTGATCGATTCATGATCTCAATCAAAATACGGATGGCGATTGAAACTGGAAAGAAACTTGTATAATGGCAGACTGAAATCAATGCGGTCTTAAATGCCTACCTTAGTAAATAAGACGCGCAAGTAACTTAAGTATCCAATTTCTTCCCTCATGGTGTGATACAATTTCGATAGGCTCAACTTGTAGCGGTAAATCAATCCCAAAAATTAATAGTTCTGTAAGTCTTCGAAATTGATGCTGACCTCATTGGTTTTAGTGGACGCATCTAGCTGAAGGTGCTCGGTCACACATCCTCACCAGACCACAAATGGGTACGCCGTACTACACATTCCTTACAACTGCTAGTCAGCTTACACCAAACGCTTCTCGACACATCGACAGCTTATCTTTGAACCTCATTATTTCTGACTTTTGATTTGACTGGTTTGGTATACTTCTTTCATAAGGGTGTTACGTGTAAAGGCGATGTCAAACTCCGAATACCTGTGGCGTCTTTAAACTAAAATGGAGATTTTGCTACATTTTTTGTGTTCAACCAGTGAGTTGAATACTGACTGAGACGGTAACCCATTACCCTTCTGTACAAAGCCTCTAAAAGTTTCAACTTTTCTGAACCGTTCGTCACTATTAGATGCTGGACAATGTGAAAACAATCAACTTCAATTCATAAAAAAATTATTGTGATGAATAATGAATTGCTTGTTCGGAGTAGTAAACAAATCAGTAACATACAGATTTGTACATGGTAGGCAGTTTCAAGAAGAGGCTCGCAAAACATGTATGTATTCATGGATTACTGCCCTTTGCTCGGCATAATAGTTTATTGTAGATACTAGGAAAGATGGTCTTGCGCTTATCGACCCTTCCTGTGCTGTCTCATAATTTATCTCTCATTATCATTATTATCATAATTACTACCGTTACGAATTTATCTTACCATAGTTTACCTCGTATCATATACATTGACTTTCTGTTATGCAGCAATCCATGAATTAATTTTAATTAGTTAGATAATCTGATTATACTGGATCATTTCATTTTCTCTCCTTTTGATTTCGATTTTATAATTCTCAGATTTCACTCAACTATCCGACGACCCTCGTAACATGACAGCTGAAAGTCCCAGTAACCCCCACTTCCCCTGCCTAAGATAATTTGCTTTTGTTCAAGATATGCTACCCCTTAAATAACTGCCGAATTCACTAGGACTAGTATGTTCGTGTGTGTGAACCACTCTGATTGGACGCTACCAAGTACCAAGAACATTGTCTTAGCACATCGATATAAGCCCAAACAAACCATTTATTTTATTCTAGCTCATTAGAATGTTATTTGAGATTGAAACTTACGAAAGTTTATCCAAACTTAATCAAATTTCTAGGTACATTTCTATCTATTCACTTGAAATATTGAACAAATTCATGGAACTGCTGTAACTCAATGCTGATATTGCAATTTCCTTTTAGTTCATGTACAAAAGATGTATTAATGTAAGCTAGAATGAAGAAATAATGTCGATAGTAATAATAAGAAGACGAAGATAATTGTAAAGTTAAATAATTAAAATTTAACAAATTTACACACTTACATTTATTGTTAACTTTGTATCATCTTTGAATTGATTAATATCAATGAATTCGACAAAGATGTATGAAATAGACCATGCACATGCTTTAATCATAAGGGCTACGAATAAATGTGAATGAATTGTATTACGCATACATTTTAAAGACCTGTAATATAAGTATAACAGAAGGAGGGCTGAGAAGCATGATTATTTGATATAATTAACTTGGTCGAAAAACGGTTCATTTCTTAATAAAAACTGAATA